GAGAGAGAGAGAGAGAGAGAGAGAGAGAGAGAGAGAGAGAGAGAGAGAGAGATTGGAGAATATCCTCAAGGTACATGCTAAGAATACTGCTAATTTTACTGGTTACTTTCATGGAATAACTTGGGATCTCTAATTGTAGCAAATGAGGTTTCTTATTACAATAAAACTGTTAAATGAAAACAATGGGTAAAGTTCTTTTTATCAGTGGGTATGCAAAGTGAATGAAGTCATGGACATAGAGCTGGTTACCTCAAGAAGATGGATATAAACATAGGAATGGGGACAGCAAGGAAAGAGTTTCAGAAATTATGAAGACTGAAGTGGCACTAAGTGAAGATTGCAAAAATGAGCACAGGAAGTCAAGGGACAAGATTTCATCAGGAATGGCTGAGTAGGTGAGTCCATGACAAGGGGGACAGGATCTGCTTCTCACTTCTGCAGTGGCAGTGGCTGGTCAGTAAGCACTCAGTACGTAACATCCTAATGCACAGTCACAAGCTGCCAGGACAGGAATGCACACTGTCTATGGCACCTTGGTACCTGGGATGTGTTGAGCAAGCTGGACAGCAGGCAGGGACGAAGTAAGTGAACTACAGCAGTGAGAAGGCTAAGCAGGAAACTGAGGGCTTCTCTGCCAAAACATCTGGAAGGGAGAGGGGATAGGATATAAAAGATGTGATGGCTGAGGAAGTTTTCTTGTTTTAAAATGGAAAATAGGTGAACATAATAGTCTGTTGAAGGATGAAGAGACAATGGAAAAGAGAAACTTTTGAACTCAAAGGAAAAGGGAGACTTTATGGAACATGGTCCTCAAGAAGACAGAAATGGGTGCAATCCAGAACAGGGGTAGAGGAGTCTCGGGATACAAAAGCAGGGAAAGATGAAGGACCTATGGGACCACAGAGACATTTCTAGTGGAGAAGTGTAGGAATAGCTCACTTGAACACCTTGATCTTTTTCTTTGTTTTAATAGGCTTGTATTTGGAAAATCCCTGGGATAATTACCACGTCAGCCAGGCCTGGTGGTATGTGCTGGTGACACAGCTACTTAGGAGACTGAAGCAGGAAGGTCACAAGTTCAAGGTCAATGTGGACAACTTAGTAAGTAAGACCCTGTCTCAAAATTTAAGCAAATATAAGGGCCAGGGATTTAGCTCAGTGGTGCCACCACCTGCCTCCAAAGTGCAAGGTCCTGAGTTCGAGCCCCAGTACAAAAACAAACAAACAAAAACCAAAAACCAAACAACAACAACAACAACAAAAACAAGACCAAAATTTAAGAAAACATATATAAGGGGATGTATCTTGGTGGTAAAGCACTTGCCTGGTATTCTTGTGGTCCTGTGTTCAGCTCCCAGGATTGGGAAAAAAAGGAAGCAATTATGTGTAGAGAAGTCTACACTTCAAAGCAGCTCTACATTCCTAATGGGTCCCACAGTTAGTGAGGACTGGTTCCAGGATCCTCTCTGGATATCAAAGTCCAGGGATGCTCATGACCTAACATGAAAGGCCATAGCATCTGCACACTAATCTGTATATATCCTCCCATATTCTTTAAATCTACATCACTTAGAATGGCCACCTGAGAAGTATGGTGCAGAAGAATTCAAAAGGGTTGTCTGCAAGTTGGAAAGCTGAACGAGCCAGTGAAAGGCAGAAGGTCTGAAGCTCACTGCAGTCCTGTTGATAGCCAAAGGGTTTATGTTGGAAGGCTGAAGGGCCTGAGACAGAAGTGACAGTGAAGACAGGAGCTCCTCCAAAGCATTTTACCTAAGTGATACTTCCTCCTTTTGGGCCTCATTTATTCCATCCCAGCTATAAGCTTATTGGCTGGCTCCACTCACACCCCGGGTGGGTTTTTTGTGTTCAGTAAATCAATTCAGCCACACCCGGAACTATGCTAATCCAATGATGTGGCCATTTATCACTCACAGTCAACTATCCCAGTATCTGGCCTTTGAACCTGTGTAACCAAAAGACCCAAAATTCTTCTCACCTCATTCAGCTACTTCCTCTCAGTCTGCCACAAGGAACCTCAGGCCCGGAACAGATCTTATGAGCAAGTGTAGAACCAGCACATCTCCAAGTTTCGTGGAACTGGAAAGACTGAGGCAATCATCAGGGGTGCTGAGGAGCTGGACCTCACTGCGTACGTGGAGGCTCCAGAAAGACAGGGACCTGCTCCTCATTTCCTCTAGCTGGTCCACAGAGATCAAGTAGCCCGAGACAGACCATGGGAGCCAAGGAGAAGCCAAATGCAGATTCTGAGACAAGGACGTCAGAATAATTACAACAATCACGCTCATGATGACAGTCAGCCACCCTCTAGGGCCATGTGAAGTCCTTCATGCATGATTTCATCAAGCATGATCTCATCTGAGCCCCACATCAGTCCTGTGAAGTGAGCACTACTGTTACTCACTATAGAGAAGTAGAAACTGAGGCCAGGGCCCTGGCCCAGGTCACACATAAATACATCCAGCTTTAGGATCCGAACCAGGTACTCTGGCTCTGGCACTTATTTTCTACAGCTCCAGTCCTCACCACGAGTGTTGGTCATGGGTGCATTATCATGTGCTGGGCCCTCCACACAACCCTAGTCCGTCGTCACAACACAGATGCGGAGGGGGTGGTCACACTCCCATTACAAGCTGGAGAAACTCAAGTGCAGAGAAGTTAAGGACAGTCCTCAAAATCTTAGAGAGACCGAGAAGAAACAGTGCTGGGGTTTGAATCCAGGATCTCTGGACCCCAGCTCATGTGCTTTTAGCCAGGCCACCACAGGTAGTTAGTGTTGGTCACCCCTCCACATTGTGCCAGAAACCAAAGAGCAGACAGAGCCTCCCAAGTAGAGCCACTAAACTCCCTCCACACTGGAAATCAGGACAGCGACCCAGGTAACACAGATTCCTAGACACTGCTTGCCCACCTTCTACCCTTTGGGCTGAGGCCAACCTTGGCCCTCTGAGGACAATCACAGCAGCGTACTACGATCAGTGCCACCTGTGCATTCCTCTCTGGGCTTGCTCAGTGTTACTCACTACACAGGGCCTTCTCCTCCTGTCCATGCAGAAGCTGGACTTCAAGTGACAGCTCCTGGAGCAGCTTCTCTTTATCCTGAGGGCATCCTGCTTTTTTTTTTCCTTTTGGTACCGGGGATCAAACTTGGGCTCTTGCGCTTGTGAGGCCGGTGGCAGAACCACTGAGCTAAATCCCCAGCCCCATCCTGCTGCTCTAGGACCTACAGTAGCACCTGAGACAAAGAACACTGGGATAGAACTGCACCGGGGGATTTCCCATTCACACAGAGTTTCCATTCTGTACCAAGATGTTTGGGAAAGAAGATAATTCCCCTGGATTTAGTGATCAGAAGGGGAGCAGGGCTTGGTTTACACTGCAAAGATGCAGGCATTTAATAACTATGTGATCTGCAGCAAGTGCCTCAACCTTTGTGAGCCTCAGACACCTGGAGGGAGGAATGACCAGAAAGGTAGGCAGCGGGTCACAGACCCACACAGAACATGCATGACACCATCGAGCCACCAGGGGGAGACATACACTATGGCACCTGACTCCACTCACCCTACTTCCATCATCCCTGCCCAGCTATTAAGGGCGCGCACTCGCGCGCGCGCGCGCACACACACACACACACACACACACACACAGAAAAGGCGATTACTTTAATAATAATCACAGTCGTTTGGGGACACATCAGCAGAATGAGGTGTGAATCAAGAAACCTTCACTTAGGAGAACAAAGATGTACATTCCCAGATACCACAGTTCTGTTTCTAACACAGAAATGCAAAGTAGGCCAAACAGCAACAGGTTTGTCTAAGTGTTTATAGTATCATTACAGCTCTCTTTTCTATGGCCATGGGTAGTACTTTATTGGTCTAGAGCATTTGTCAATATTCAGTTTGTATTTAATGCTATAATAGATGGTCATTTTATTTCTATAGCCAAGATATCATAGCCATGGCTATTAACTGGTTTTCTTGAGATGTCAGTATCTAGTATGCCTAAGGGTTATTAGCAATACTACAGCCCATTCTGGGAAAACTGGAGATGGGGTCAAACATGGTTCAACAGGGTGGGGATGTAACCCAGTGGTTCCGTCGCCTGACTCGCAAGCTCAACACCCTGAGTTCGATCCCTGTTACCAAACAAAAACAAAAACAAAAGCATGCTGCAAACTCCCATCTCAAGAAAATGCAGGAGGATGGATCGTGGGACAGATGTAATGGCCAGTAGTTCTGCCACGTCCAAAGGACACCACTAAAAAGTAGACATTAACTACAGAGTTCTCCATAATAGAGACAGAACTTTCCAGTACAACAAACCCACAAGCCTCAATGCAAAACAAAGAAAAATAGAAATGTGAGAAAAAAGCCAACAGAATGCCTACCAAAACTCCCAGTTTCCCAAATGTTGATCTATGGGGTACTGAAGAAGAGGAAACCAAAAGCCTCACACTTAATATTTGAAATGGTATGAAAGATAACAAAACAGTTCACTAAGGTAGTTGGGAATCTCACAACAACAAGATAATAATAAGATATTGGGTCCATCAAACAAAATTATCAGTGACCCTAAAGATGACACAAATAAAAAGAAACATAAGCAAAATGATACAAAGCATACACAACCAGCACAGAGAAGGATTAGAGTTCATGAAAGGGCTCAAAATAGCAATGTAGGAGGTTAAAAATTTATTGAAAGTTTAGTCAAGTAAAGTGACCAAATGTAGGGACAGAGTCTCAGAACTAGAAGACAGGGCTGTTGTCCGTGACCAATGAATGAATGACACCTTTAATATGAAGGACTCCAAATAGCCACAATCAGAAAAGGCACATTGTAGTCAAAATCCTGGAAGTTCACCCAAGAACAGAATCGTTTGTTTGTTTGTTTGTTTGTTTTGGTGCCAGGGATTGAACTCGGGTCCTTGTTTATACAAGGCAGACAGCAGAACCACTGAGCTAAAACCCCGGCCCAAGAACAGAATCTTAAACTCATGGAAAAGTAAAGAATCACTTATAAAGGAAGATCCATCAAAATTACAGCAGATTCTGGGCTGGGGATGTAGCTCAGTGGCACCGTGCCTGCCTCATAAGTGCAAGGTCCTGAGTTTGATCCCTGTTACCACAAAAATAAATTACAGTAGATCCTAAAACACAAAATTTAAAGGCCAGGAGAGTGCAAAGTGTTTCAAGTCCTAAAGTAAACAAATTCCCAATCTAGTGTGACATATTCTGAAAAGCTACTCATCAAAATTGATGGGGAAAAGGGCCAGGAATTTAGCTCAGTGGTGCTGCCACCTGCCTCGAAAGCATAAGGTCCTGAGTTTGATCCCCAGTACCCACCCAAAAAAGATGGAGAAATAGGATACTTTCATGGTAAAGATGATAAGAGAATTTAAAGAAATTTATGACCACCAAACCAGCACTCCAGAAAATTCTCAAGAACACCCTAAAAAGTGACATTGGAGCTTACAATGACAAAAAGTCTAATAGAAGAAATATATTAGGGAGGGTGAGCAGTTAAGCACAAGACAAAGATAGGGATTCAACAATAGGAGAATATGCAATGACAGGAATAAGTCAATACCAATCAGTAAATCAGTAATAATTCTCAATGTAAATGATTTCAATTCTAGAATCAAAAGACAAAGACTGGCACAATGGGTCAATGAACAAAAACCAACATTATGCTGTATACAAGAAACATGTTTAGGGCCAGGGATTTAGCTCAATGGTTCTGCTGCCTGTCTCATAAGTGCAAGAACCCGAGTTTGATCCTTGGTACCAAAAAAAAAAATGCTGCTTTTGTATCTCTGTCTTAAGAGACCTATACAGCCACTCCAGGCACTCCCCAGGTCTGGGTCCTTACTAACTTGACATATTGTCCTCAACATGAAACAAAGGGACCAATGTAACCGTTAAACAAAAGGGCCTTACTGGATTCCCCATTGATGAAATGACCAAAACAACTCAGACGGGACATGTGGCCCAACACATTCAGTCTTATATCACTAATGTTTTCATTTTCAAAAACTCAAAAAAGCCAATGTGTGTCCACATAACCTTTGGTACTAGCCT